ATAGTCATACACACGTAAAATATACTACAATATTGAACGAAATAAAATCCTTTTTCACATAACAATTATTTTGTAATTAACATACAGTTTCGTTATATCGTGAAAAAGCTAAAATTGCGTATGGAACGTTTGTGAAAACTTGCTAGCTAGGAAAAATAAAAAGTATAACGCGTAGGAAAATAAAATTCTTGAATATAATAAAAATATTGAATAATTTTCCGCTAAACAAAGCAGAATGTATGTATGCAGGCGCAAAAAGACTGCAGCTAGTTTTTATTTTAAAAAATATAGTAGCCATACAAGAGATACAAGAAATTTGCAAATATTTGCAACTAAATCTTTAGGTGTATAATAAAATAAAATTCTGTTAAGTTTATTTTTAATAAATAATTTAATGAAAATAGAACGAAAGATACATTAATAAAATATATCTAATGATTTTAGACTACATGAAAGTAAATGACATAGTTATTACCATTTCTAATTCTCCATACATTTTTTTATATGACAGAAAATTCTTTTACATTTTTGACATCTATATTTTTATCAAAGAAGAGAATTCCGGGTGGAAATTACGACCTGGCGCTATATGGGCCCCATCTAGTTTTCTACGAGTTAATGTAAACGCTCTATTGGAAGGCTAGCCTGGGGCTATACTGAGCGGTAACGGGAATAATGACCAGTCCCAATACTGGAAAACTTTCTTGGCCCTGGTTCGTGATGCGCTGTAGGCCCAATATTGGAAAATTGTCTAATCAGGTTCTGGTTCGCGAGGTGGTGCCGCTGAAATTTAAGAAAACTGTCTAGGCCTTGATCACGAGGCAGTGTGTTGCCAAGATATTAAATCTGTCTAATCGCTATCTAGGAAGGGACGGGGTAATCTAGTTAGATTTAAATAAATTTTAAGACAAAAAATGAGTCGGATTGAAAGGAGTCGGAAAATTTTTCGGATTGAAAGGCATACTTAAAAGCATACGTTCGAATTTCGCGCTTAATGATGACGTATGCTTGCTACATATTTTGATTGGACAGTGGGCGTGACCATGCGCAAGAGCATACCCTTATACTTCTACCATGGTTATTATGATCCTGCCTCATCGGCCGGGCGCTAGCTAGTCCCTGGTTAGTTTTCCCATCTTGGCACCCCAACATAATTCTGTATAGCGCCTAGATGAAATACTAGGTAGCGCCTGGCTAGATTTCCGATACTGGCGTGCGCCACAACCTTTCCCACAGGGCCCAATATAGAACATTGGAACGCTCAGATACATTTCCACTCGGGATGCAGTTATTATATTATGTTAAAGCAGTTCGTTACAAAAATGGTACGAAATTAATTTAAGTAACAATATTAGATAAACTACAAATATCCATTTAAGATCGATTTAAAAATCTCTGTAAAGGCAATAATATAAATATAACAATACATTTTTGATTAACAGAATATCGTTCACTAATTAAATTGTAGTGAATTAAAAGTTCTGAGAAATCTACATTTATTTATATTTCGACTTTACTATGGTAACGTTTCTGTGGTAATGTTCTGTTATGCAACAATTTGTAACAAGCACAGCAGTGCCACGGTAAACAGTGCAGCACGCGCAGAAGCATACAAAAAGTCCAATAAGAGAACATGTTCCATGTATTGTGAACTTTATGCGTAGCATAAAGGATGCAACTGTACAAACATATACGCGTGAAAGTTCTTCAACTATACTTCGAGAGTCTCGATTTTCGCTTTGCAAAATGTGTCTTTGCAACGCACAATTCGTGCATTTTCTAATGCTACATTGCATAGTGAAATCTTCGATTTCCCGCAAATTTACAGAAAAGAGAGAATTGTAAAAAACATCTGGTATAGCCCCGACAATGTTAGTAATAACTTATAGCAAGAAGATTTAAGAACTCAGTGGACAGATATATGGCGAAATTATCTCACGGTCGCTCATCTTTGAATAAATCGCAATTTCCTTAAATCCAATAAAATATTTCACAATACCAAAATGAGAATTCCCAGATGCTATAAATATAATCGGCTATTCCAGTGACTGGATTCTCTCAACTAAAAAATAAAATAAATTCAAAAATACAATCTCAAAATAATAATTGTTGACCGCAGAAATAAAGAAAATAAAAATTAATCATTTAAAAGCAACCATTGTTTTCTCAAAATTTGTTGTGCAGAAATGTGTGACATTTAAAAAATTCTGAGAATATAAAATAATAAATATTTCCTGATATATATATAATATTTCATATAATGAATCTTGCGAAAATGTCATCGTCATGTATCACTTTATGTTTAATTTATAAGACATATAAATAAAATATTTGGTGTAGCATTTCTTATATTAAAAATATGAACATCAAATATTGTATATCGTTAACTATATTTTGAATTTTTACAAGTTCTTTTTTATCGATATCGATAATTTATCGGACCAAAAGAACGCGCTTTCACTTTATTATATAAATTATTTTATAAATACATAACACGTATGATTATATTTTTGTAACATCATATTTTAATATGCAATATTTTGTAACATTCATACATCGTATGAATAACAACTTGATTAATATGCGTTATGGGATCCGTCACTTATACGTATTAAATGAGTGATTTGAAATTCACTTTATATTGAGTTTGCGACATTATCAATGAAATGCAAAGCGACGTACTTTTAATTACGCGAGTTTAACTTTTATATTTCGTGCGACAAATTACATCCATGTTGATGACGCTGGAATGATAAACTAATTTCCTTAATGAACGACAAAACTTCTAATTCTACGTAACGTACATGAATCTCCAAAATGGAATTTCGCCAACTTTAATTTATCATACTGTCTCGCATCCGAATTTTTGAAATATGCCAAATTTATAACTACGTATAAACAAGTTTATCTGATACAATGATTTCTTATGTAATTATTTAGAAACTCCTTTACATTTCTTGGAGTGAAATTTCATTCCAAAAGAGAGTGAAATTTCACACTTTTCGAGTGAGATTCGCTCTAAAAAAAAGAATGAAATTTCTTTTCTTTAGAGTAAATTTCATTCCAAAAAAAAAAGAGTGATAATCTGCCATTCTTATTTAAAAGTGTAAATATTTCACTCTTTTTCAATAGTGGCAGTATTTTCACTCTTTTGAAGTGAAATTTCACTTCAAGAAATTTAGAGAGTATGTAATTATTTACAATTAGGTATACAGAAAAATCACGCATCACCATTACAATATATACAGATCAAAAGCTGCTGAGATACTGTTCAGCCAAATATATTGCATATGACGAACAAGTTGATATCAATTCAATGGCTAAAAGGATGATATATAACGTATGAATTGAATTCAATAGATGGATCAAATGCGACAGAGTTAATAACGATGGCAAGAGAACTTTCAACGCCAGCTGTGCTGCAGGGATACACATCTCTTTGAGTATTTTAACTTACAACACTCTATGGCACAAATATAAATTACAGTAATAAAAGGATTATCGTAAATTTTGTCAACGGAAGTTCATTTATGATTTCAAAAATTTCTAAATATTGTTGCGTGATTGATGTATTGCTTTACTTTTTATATTTAACTAAAATTAAATTGGAATCTGTGAAGATAGCACGGCATTCTACTAATATAAAAAAATGATTACAGTTCCAGTAGCACTCTCTTTTTATAGTTCTACAGTTCCTTATAAAAATAAAAAAAAGTTCCCGTATTTTTTATTCTAAAGTTAACAACGCCATTTTTTAATTTTGGTTTTTTGGTATAAAAATGCGAAACTTTTTTATTTTTATTAGGAACTGTAGAACTATAAAAAGAGTGTATGAAGCTGTTATTTTTTTATATTAATAGAATGTCGTGTTAACTTCACAGATCCATAAATTGATATTTTTTAATTATTGTCAGTTTAATAATATTGTTATAGCACAATCAAAAAAGTTTATAGTATTATTGTTTATCAAAATTAAATTATAATCAGACAATTACAAATAAAAACATAGTTTTATGAACAATTTCTATGATTTTCGTAGTTCTATGATTTTAGTTTGCAATAATATTCTTCACGCATTAATTTATCAAATATACTAGTTCAAACAGTAAACTTCATAATAAGAGAGATTCAGTTCTGAAAAGTTTGAAACATTTCGATTTTGATTGTTAGAGACAAAAATAAACAATGGTAGTTATTAGTTGAAATTTGTAAATTAGAAATTATAATATCATATATAATAAAAAATATTATATTTTTTCATTTATTTTATTTCTTTTAAGCACTTCGTATAAAACGGAGCAAAACCTCATTTTTTTAATTTAACTGAATAAACGAAGCATTTCTATGGGTCACTGCTCTCAAAAGAAATTTTTACGTGAAAATACGCGGTTTAAAGAAAATATATAAAAGCATTTGCGCCAGTTCTAATTATATATCGCTCGTAATTTTATAAAATTATCATAATCACACAGAAACTGGAACATTATAGCGAAGCTTTTTAGCTTATTCAATTGAAATAAAAAATATTACCGCTGCCTCAGTTATGTATATTGCACGTGCATATATACAATCAGATTTAAATTTAAAAGTTTCGAAAAATATTACAAGACTCATCAGATAATTACATATTCAATTGTTAATCACAAATACAGATTGCGACTTTAATATTTTATGTTAAATTTTAATATTTTATATTAAAAATTAGTTTCTCATTAATGCTGAAAAGTTAATTCTATAATAATATCTCTGCATAATACACTCATTCAAAGATATCGCGAGAGAGTTAGAATTATTATTTACAATCGAGCACCGGTTCTTGTATGCTGGTATTATCTAATGTGACAATAAAAAAAAGCGAGAAAAAAAGGCTTTCGACTTTCAAGGCATTCGCTTAATTCGCTGCGTAAAGCTATGGCCCTGGATAACGGCAGAGTGGCAGTCTGCCTTGTGCATGTGCGGAGTTTCGTGATACCGGATAATACCGTGGGGCATGTACTTACATACTACGGTGAGATTCTTCGAGGCGGTGGCCGTGGAGAAGGTTGGCGCGTCTGCCGTAACTTCGCAGATGAATGTACCCGAGAGGCCGAAGTCGACATTGCGAAGCGTTACCTGGCTCTTGTTCGAGTTGTCGGGCTGAAACACACGTCCGTATAAGATGTACACAGCAAATAGGAATACCTACGTATCAGGCGCGACGGCCTAGGTTATTATGCTGCGGTGAAGTAATGCCATTTACATGCGGATAACGTGATTCGATATAATCTCATTTGTTGAAAGATATTACACGTGTTGAAGAGATTAGTTATTCATTGTTCCGTGATTCGATGTCTGTATAAAATTATATAATAATTATTAATAATTATTAATAATCGAATTATAATTAATCGAATTAATAAACAAGGATAATTATATTTTATATATCTATGATTTAAGTAATTTGAACTATTAAAGATATTTAGCGCTGATAATAATTACTTGTGTGTGTGTTTAAAAATTTCTCATAAATATATAAAATTAGAATTTTTAAAAAGATGCAGCGTTCTTTATTTCAGCAAATATTCCATGAATATCCTAATTCTCGTCGCATCGAAGGATGCCTGGTCCACTTGAAGGAACAATCACCTTATCAGAAAATTATCGGGCACTCGACTAAAGTGGTCCGGAAAGTCAAACTGGTAGAAGTCGTACTACGGAAATAGAAGTGAAGTGACGTCGTGATAGCGATAGGAGACGAATACAGAAAGGTTTAATCGGAATAGGCAAAACGAAGCATGCATAATTAACGATGCTTACATAATGAAAGAGGAAGAAGCACGAGTGAGCGGGGACACGCCGATGGCTGGAGCAAGAAAAAGGGTGAATTACAAGTTCTTTGACGAGTGGGAAAGTAGCGTGAAAGGCAAGTGAGCTCTCTCCTCGTTGATTTATGTGGACAAGGACGCAGAGTTCCCGGCTGACTTTACAGAAGCAGGAACAAAAGCTCAGCACGCCGCACGAGAGGAATAAATATGAAACCATAGCACTCTCACTCGGCGCTATCTAGGGAATAATTTCTGACGTGTAGCGTCTTGTCGTTCTCTCTTCCAACTGGCGATGACACTGATATCTTCGCGCGAGATACCCAATATTCGTGGCATATGAATCTATCATTCGCAGGCTAACAACGTCCAGGATTAACAATTTCGCATGTCATCAAGTTTGTCGGACAAGCGCTACCAATACGTCGTATGCATGAAAAATTAATGGAGCACCAAAATTATTTAATCAAGACATCCAATAATAATAATAATAATAATAAGTTTTATTGACATGCAAGATAATATGAATTTATAAACGTGAGTGCGGTATAATTTAGAGTAACATCAGAAAAGATGAGACATCAGAAATAGTGTTGTTTGAGAATCTAGATCCTTAACTTAATTCTTTTTATCTTTTAATTTGTAAAATTATATAAAAGCGGTTTTTTTTTCAAAATATATACGTACAATTATTGTAAAATTAAATCCGTTATTTCCCGAAGCTAATAATTCACTTGTAATTACTATCTTAACATTCTTTTCTCATTCATAGTTTTAAAAGGACACTATCGACATAAAGTCATTATTTGCGGCTTCTTTTATATCTAAAAGATTCGATCGTGCGGTAACATTGCGATAAATTGTCTTTTTTATAGACCGTTACTTGTTCGATACTTGTTTGAATTCCTACTAGAATGGGTTGCAACGATGTCAATATGCTGGAAACGTGGTATCTATACTTCTCGAACGAGCGTCAGGACTTGGTTTGGTCCAGAATTGCAAATAGATATTGGGAACTAACCGTCGCGACTTCGGGCACGGCATTGTGGAATAATGTGTCAATGCTCGTAGGTCATGCGTCCTGTGGGTCTTTTTGCTTGCTAACTCACTCATCCGTTGTCTTTAACGTTACAAAATTTCATAGTCAACATTCTATTGTAAATATGCGAAAATCAATAAATACCAACGAAGATCGATACGATGGAACGCATCATGAAGCATGTTAAATATGTTGATATGCGTAGTAGCAGGCTTTATATTTCATCATGAACACGCTTTTAACGTACTGCATAACGTCCCGTGTTACAATATCCACCTGAGCGGCGCTTTGTTGACTCGTGTAAATGTTTCACCGCTTTGACTTCGCAAACGCTGAGTCGAATTGGTTAACTCGATGTTTAGCACTTCCAACATACGCAGAGAATATGCGCGTACGTGCAGAATCCCAATAATAATCTGCTCTTTATTTGCATGAAAAATAAAATTTGTTATACGAGAAGTTTCCGCGTATTAATAGAATGTGCGTGATGTAATATATAACAATAATTCATATTCGTAATCGTATAAAGGATCTATGATAACACGGCGGGAAAACAACGAAGTAAAAATAATTTTTTTTCCTTACTCCTCCGGACACGCATTGATGCGAGCGTGCTAACGATTCATTTCCCAATATAAAGGGTCTATTAAATAAAACATACCTGGTGTAACGACTGGAGTATTGCGAGATTAACAACTCATGGAAACACGCATCAAAGTCCTGCCAAACGTATTTCCGATATAGATATCCGGGCAGGATACGCATAGTAAATCGAATATCAGCGCGAAAACAAGCCAAGTAACAAAACAATTTTTTTCGCAACCTTTCCCTCTAGGGGGAAATAAATGGGGAAGGGGGCGAACGTATTTTTCGAAATCGAGGCTTTTATATCTCTCACGGCAGCGCGGTGCATTACTTCCCGTTCGTCACCGGAGAACCGGCCGCGCGTGTACCATGTTTCGAAACGATAAACGTAAACGGGAACAGGAACGTGCGGCGCGTTGTCACGGTTTGTCAGGTCGTTCATTCGGCTGTACCGGAACACAACGGTACCGAGGGGCTTGTTTTTGGCGCAACGCGTGTGCAGGCGGTATGGCACGATTGGCGGTCATCGCGCCACCCTGCAAACCATCGGCGCCCAACGCGTGTAACAGTCTACGGAAATGTTCGAGCGATGATAAAAGCATCGTAGACCCAACTGTTTTACGGCGATTACAGCGGTCAAGGGTGCTGTTAACGAGGCGCCACCCTGCAACCTGCGGTTTGCGTTACGGTGATACGATAAAGCCGCATATTTCGTTGTTAGCTAACCCCAGCTATGATTTGCACGGCTCGAGATCGAAAAAGATAGCTGCAGTTTCGCAGACTCATTGGGACAATATATGCAAAAGTGCCCCAATTAACAAATGTTCCTCCCTATCACTCTTAGTTCACCGATCGTTAAGATCTAGAACACTTCGTTCTTTTTAACGATGCGCATGTTCTCAATGTTTTAAAGGGATAACAGGCGTTGAAAAAGAACAGTGATAAAAAGAATAGGAAGATTAATGATTTACACGGCGACACAGAAGAGATTAATACTAAATATATTGGAATGTGATTATGCTTTCCTGTAAATCTTTTCACATTTTCTCATCAAATGATTTATAGTAGACTTAAAGAAAATATACTCGGATAAAGTCATTCCTCAACCATTGAAAATTTGCTGATAATATGATAGTACAAGAAATATTTATTATTAAACAAAAGGTCTAATTTAATATGTATAATTAGTAAAATTTGGCAAAACATTAAAAAAATCTTTCAGTATATCAGAAAGAACAAATAAGTAAAAATATAATTTGAGTAAAAGTAATTTGAACACATTTATAATTATTTATATCATAGATATATTTGTGTCAAATATTCTTCCGCACATTATCGTTATTCGGATTACATTATTTTATCCGTTCCAACATATACCTACGTAAAATTACTGCTTATCGATCCACTTTCAATTTACATTTTGGTAATTGTATGTCAATATATTATTATCTGTACAGAGAAATGGCTCATTTTATATTTTATTAACGTTTATTAAATGCCAAATATTTGCCATTTGGAATTCATAAATTCGTTTATGTTATTAAAATCTTCACGTTATAATGAATCCTATTCATATATCCAGTTAAAAAATGTTTTACTGCATTTTTTTTATTAACAAAGAATTATATTTAAATAATGTTTCTCTTTTCTTGCAAAAACTAAAAATAAAAATATATTTTTAAAAATATATATTAAAATGTAAATATATTTTAAGAAAATAAACATTAAAATTTGAATAATGTGAAAAAAAATTAATTACTTGCAATGTATATCATTATGTAAAAGTTGTAGCAAAAAATATTATTTAAAAATATTATTTACTTAAAATGTTTACGTAAAAATATTCATTTATTTGTTCGTGCGTATAATTTTATACTTTATTTTTATCTCAAGAAAATAACATGAAAATATGATGAACTGAATTACTGAACTTTTGCACGTTTCTATTTGTTAATATAAAATTGTATTAAAAATGAGTACAATACATACTATTTTACTATTATTACATACATAATATTACTGATTACAATACTGAAAATACGTCAGCAATAAGGGAATTCAGTCCGAACAAATACGAAATGTTATTGGAGATCTCATTTAGTGACTTACGTCGACATTAATTCCGGAAATGTTGAAGATCTTGGTAGATGATTCCTCGGTGGGTGAGAATCGGTAGAATTCGTGCCTGCCCCGATACCACTTGAGGGAGTAGAGTGGCGCATTCTCCAAATCATAATGGCACCGCAGAATCACCTCCTCGCCACGTTGCACCACCTCCGGAACCACCTCTAGGCTGACCCCCCGCAGGCAGTTCGCACCTTTCAGGAAAATGAGAACAGTAACACAGGGCATTAAGTCTAGTGCGCATCATTAGTTCGCTTTTACTCGTCGCGCGAGAGGTTGCATAGCACGCGTCAGCGAGAAATTGCAATTCCGCCGAATGACAATTTCCCTCATCCTCCTCTCAACCTCTCTCGCAACTATGCATGCAACCGCAAACACACGCACGCGCGAGCTCTCACGTCCACGCGGCCACGTACCTGCATACATATATTAAACCCAGCCCCATCTCGTATCCCAACCATTTTCGCGTAACCCATACGAGGTGCTCTGCAAACTAACCCTCGCACTCGAACGAGCGCGATGTTTTTTGCTGAAACTCCGTTATGCGAGGATTATCGACAATTCGACCTATTAAGCCGCAGCCCGCAAGGAAGCCAAGCGTTGGATAGCGTTCATATTAAAACAAAATGTGTGTGTACGTGTGTGTATATATATATATATATGTGTGTGTGAGAAATGGAAGGGAAGAGAGAAGAGGTCTGCAACTCCTTGGTGCAGAATGAAGCTCTTATTACGTAGTACCTCCGGGCTACACGGAAATGGGTACAGTCTACAAGCCGCGAATGGGAACAAAACTCTGCGGGGTTACTTCCCTCCTCAAAAGCATCAGGAACATATGCTACGCTATATGTAATATTTTAGGAAATATGGCACTTTGTACCTACTACGGACGATGCACGTTTTCACGCCCATACGGAAATGTGTTTACACATCGATGGAACGTGTAAATCTTTCGTCACATCTATTCCATTTATTATAACATGCTGGTATAACCTGTTCGTAAATACTCCTGTGCTCTATCGTATATTGAATTCTAAACTTTTATATAAAACATCTTAGAAAAACATGCTATCAAATATGATTGATGATTGCAGTTTCACGTCATCCGATGTATTAAAATTTAATATTTTTGTATGTTTCCAAAGTAAATTTTATATTTCATTTTTACACATTTTATGTCACTACAAATTGCACGATGTATTTTAATATTTTAGCCTTCATTTTTTGTGAATTGTACAAAAATTCATTATTTAAAATGTGACTACACATCATCATTATGAAATTATAATTATAGTAATTTATTTTAGTTAATTTATTATAATACGTTACATATTTTTATCGTGATACATTTTATGCAATGATATATATATAATTATTTATTCATTTTTCGTTAAATCATAATAATAATATAAGTAAAACTTAAAATATTATCTATATGTATACATATATATATATAGTGTACTTGATGAACTTCTAATGAAATGAAGAGAAATAAGAATTAACACAGGTATATATTTCTGGGTATTTGTATTATAAAAAATTGCGTCGAAGTATGTTTATAGTTATGGCATAATTTGATTGCGCAAAACATTCACATTCGATATATTGGTAAAATAAACTATGTCTTTGATATATCCGCAGAAAAAGAAATCTAAAGAAGTAATATTAGAGAAATGAGGTGACCAGGGCATGGAGTCTATTCATCTAATTCAATGACCTCAAAAAGTCAATAAAGATTGTCATGCATGGAAGCTTAGTAATTTGTTATAAGAGACTTTTTTTAGTTGTTCTTTACAATAAAAACAAGCAGAAATATGTATGTTTTTTTTTCTTTCTCATCATTTCAAAATATCAGAGAATCATTGTGCACACTCTGTATATATTGCACTTTTTTTAAACACTAATGCTTCTCCTCATTTCATACAAATTAAATTTGGACACAATTTATAAAACGCTCACAATTAAATTCAGCATGAAAGTAGGTTAAGTAAATAAATAACTCATCTTATTCGAGCAACTTATACCTGCGCGGAATGAGTTTGTTCAAAATAAGAACATCTGACCGTGTTTAATATTGTGCACATGTTACACTAAGTCCTCAGAAATGAGAAAGAAACAGACGGCGCGGCGGCGCCACGTTAAATTGTGCTATGTAAGAGCAAGAATGCTCACAAATACATAAAAATTATTAATATAACGCATCAACGGTAAAAACATTGTTAACATAAAATCGAATATCGTGTATGAAGTTATTAAATTATCAAAAAATTAAACAATTTTATTCATGTTTATATATATATATATATACATATATATTAAACTTCACATAATTTATTTTCAATAAATAAATTCCTCATGTATAAATATCCAATGTAAAAAATTCTCATTCTAACTTGTACATAATTATAAACTATTAGAATACGGAAGCAAGTGGATCTTTGTCAATCAGACACTATTTTTGTAATAAGACTTCTGAATTGCCTTGTAAACAATTTTACGACGTCGTATCACAAAGCGTTTTTCATACAGTCCAAGGAGTGTCAGTTAAGTTGTTTAATGGCAAAAAGATACGAATTTCCCCGTTTACTACGAATAAGACTCGGAAAGTTGAGAGCTTTTTCCTGCTTAATTTTCGTTTGAAAGGCATCCTGAAAAATGTGGACCGACGTGACGCCAGTTTTAAGTTTCCAGGGACTTCTTTTGAAGGGTGCAATACTCACATCCCTCGTTCCCCCTTGCTTTAGTTTTGCACTGCCAACGTATCTACATTTAAATTCTCAAGACTCCAGCTAGTTTCTATGCTCTCGGTAGCGCCACTTCTTACAACTAATTATTCGTAAAGAAAGCTAATTTAACGAAACACTTAACGTTTCTCTTTGAAAGAAGGAAATGCGCGCCACGCAACACGAAATTACCTCGCTTGCCGACGTCAAATGGGACGATGGATTTTTATACTTTCATAAAGGCGCTCGTTTCTACAAGCAGCAGAAGCCAATACGATAACGGTAGTATATTTTATGGAATAAATAAAGTCAGCTCACTCTATATCAGTTATGTTTTACTACTTATAATTTAAAGAACATTTAGTACTTATAATTTTTAAATTATAAGGAAGAAACTTAAAATGAACTTTTGATAGACAAACTGAATGAACAGATTTGAAAGAAATATTTAAATTAACAGCGGTAAATGCATCGCGATTACGAGTAATAACATTTTTGTGAAGCAGCAAGGTATACAGATACATTTATGATGGATCTATATTTTAAAACTAAAGACTATCCTTTTGTAGGATAGCTTGCAATTACATGGATAATAAATCCATAGGATAATTTTTTTTTTCCAATAATTAGCAAGTAGACTTCCTTTCTGAGGAAAGGAGGTTGCATTTGTTCTTTTTGTTCGCTGCCATCATCCCATCGCTTTCCGCTTTCGCCAACTTCGAAATTTATAACAAAGTTTTAACAACTCGTCTTTCCTGTGTTGCGAGTAAAGAAAGTCAGGGATCCATCGCATCGAGAGCAGCGTAACGAAGAGAAATGTGAATTTGAATATACTTAGCCTTTAACATCAAAACTTCGAATAAATAGTGATAATTTGAGCGGATGTATAAAGATTAAGCTTAGTAGTTTGTGTAATTGAGAATGCCTAAATAATAGTAAAATTAAATTTATCAACTGAATATTCAGAATAGATTAATCAATTTTGTAAATATTATTATTATTATTTAAAGTGTTATTATTACAGAACATATTTTCTCAACAACCAACTCGATTTTTATAATAACGAGTTGCGAACAAGTTTATATCCATTCGCATTAGGACTATACAAATTTATACCTTTTGTACGATTGTTTATTATTATTCAAAGTAATGCTAATATGAATATATCAACTTTCGATTCTAGCGATTGCAAATTTATGTTTGTTGAAAATATCAACAGAACACGCATGATAAACAGCTAAGTTATTATAAATGAACGTTATAGTAAACACAACGATAACTTGATATTTGATTTAATGTGTTTATGTGAGAAACACTGATTTACATAATTATCGATAAAAGATTATTTGTTACTGACACTCGAAATGTATCGGTTACGATTAATCAGCATTTCATACAAACTGGTTTTTCAGTTGGTTTAAAAAATCTGGTTACATGAGCGTTGATCAAAATATCGAGTGAAGTTACACGTACATGCTAATCTCACATTTGAAAAAGTAACATTGGTTTTTCCGGCCGCTGCAAACAGATTTGATTGCAATAAAATTACGTCGATTTAACCAAACGGAAAGATTATCCCGGGTATATCGTTTAAAAGTAAAATCTACCCATGACATTTTTCGCGCGGAAGTATTAAACGGCGCAATCAACGCGAGTAAAACCATTTTCGTTAAATACGATCGACGCGATTTGCGAAAGCCGTTTCGACGGCTTCGGCAATGAGTTTTGCGGTACAGACAGTTTAATGCTGGGTACGCCATCCCAATATAATTCCAGCACTATTCCTGAACATTTCCGTCACGGGCGGATCTGTACACCCGCGAATGCGCTCCAGGCAAATTAAGTCCCCCTCGTAACTATACGAACTGCTGCGATCAGAATTGCAAAGTCCCGTGTGCACTCTTCCCTTGTGTCTCTTTTCCATCGTCCCGGCATGCAGCCAAACCCACGAGACTCGTCATCACGCGCGAGATGTATGTACTACTTCACGACACATTGCGTGTTACAGAAATCGAAGGGACACGACATACACGACATCACGTCGATTCATTTTTTTGCCATGTCAACTACGATTTATCTGTAATAAAACAATAGCAATCACAAAGATGTTGGATGAATTTTATTGACATATATTTTCAGTATCTTTTAAGTGTTTAACTGTTTTAGTGTTTAAGAAAAAAAATAATTTTAATATTATTACGAGATAATGTAAAGAACCTTTCTTTACAACTTATGTCTAAAATCTCTTTATGCAATTAAATCTTCTTTTTTCTAAATCGTTTGATTTGTTGTAAACTTATTAAAAATAAAATTTTGTGGATCAAACTCTATATCTAACAATACTTTCGAGATTCCCACGGATATTTTTGTCATTAATGACGTTACGCGGTTTATGGGTTATCTCCCCCTATGTGATATATCTTCATAGAAAGAACATTTTGCTGAAATATCTAAATATTGCTATAGATACA